GGGGGGCTCTCCCCAGCCCCCTCGTCACCCCAAAGGTGGGTAGGGGCTCTCCCCGGACCCCCCAAGGGCAGCGTGGGGGCTCTCCCCACACCCCTGAGCACCCCAAAAGTGGGGGACCCCTCTCCCTAGACCCCCTGAGGGCAGCATGGGGGCTCTCCCCAGCCCCCTGAGACCCCCAAAGTTGGCAGAGGGCTTTCTCTGGGCCCCTGGGCACCCCAAAAGTGGAGGGGGGGCTCTCCCCAGCCCCCTCGTCACCCCAAAGGTGGGTAGGGGCTCTCCCCGGACCCCCCAAGGGCAGCGTGGGGGCTCTCCCCACACCCCTGAGCACCCCAAAAAGCATGGGGAGGGTCTCCCCAGCCCCCTGGGACCCCCATGGCCATGGGGTGGGGGGCGGGGGGTTCCCCACCTCTCCCACCATGCCGTTCCAGACGCCGTCGATCTTCTTGCCGTGTTTGCCGTTGGTGACGAGGTAGAGGTCGTAGGTGAAGCCGACGGTGCGGGCCAAGCGCTTGAGGATGTCGATGCAGAAACCCTTACAGCATTTCTTCTCGAAGAGCGCCGGCTCGGCCGAGGGGCTGCGGGGACGGTGACACTCGGGGACAACCCGGCGGCGGTGGCGGCGGGGACGTCCCCAAGGGGTCGGGGACGCCGGGTACCAACCTGGCGGTGCGGTTGAGCTGTTTGCGGCAGGGGACGGAGTCGCGGATGCAGGTGCCGGTGGCGGGGTCGATGTTCTCCACGATGACGAAGGGACGTTCTTCCAGCGTGGCCACCGTCAGGTGTTGGTCGTCGTCTACCGGTTGGAGGAATTTACCGTAACGCGACCAAACCGGGTACTTCATCCGCAGGATCCGGTGTTCCCAGCTGCCCACCTGCGGGGGGGGGGAGGGACAACACCTGAGCCACCGCCTTCAGACCGATGTCATCGTCGGGGATGATCTGACGTCACCGCGACGGACGGCGGGTGGCCGCCGGATGGATGGACACGGGGTCACCTTGGCCGGGAGGAACCGGTCGAGGAAGGGTCCTGGGAGGTGTCACCGTGACAGGGCGAGGGGGCTGAGCTTTTGTGTCCCCGTCACCAGCCAGGCGTCACCACCACCCCCTTGGGGACACGTTGTTGTGACAAGGCAGTGTGACACCGCAACGGTGGTGAGGGGGGGCGGTGAACGCCAGATGGTACCGCAGCCCCCGGGGGGACACCACGTGGCCGAGAGGAGCTGGACGTCACCGCGACCGGAATGACAAACACCACGAGGAGCAGCCAGGGGACGTCACCGCCAGGACGGTGACACCGCAGGGACACGGCACAGGCGGAGGGGACGCTCACCACCTCCCAGCTGCGCTCCTTGTTGAGGGAGATAACGACCAGTGAGGGGTTGACGAGGTAGCCGTCCTCGTTAAAGGAGAAATCCTTTTGCCCCCAGGTGATGTTCATGAAGTACCTGGGGGACGTGACACCGTCACAGGGCTGTCACCTCCCTGAGCCGCAGGTGACAGCCGCCGGCGGTGCCGCCGCGCTCACCGGTGGAGGTTGTCGTTGATCTGGGTGACGTTAGGGGCCCGACAGTCGTTGTTGAACTCGGGGATGAAGCCGTAGTCGCGCAGCAGCGCCTCGGCACCCTTGGCCACGATGGCCACGCCGTTGTGCACCCGGTGTTGGAGGTCGTCCCGCCAACCGGCCGACAACACCGCGAATAAGCCGGCGGGGAGATGTTCCGGCAATTGGTCGCTTCCTCCCAGGTTGGTGCCAACCACGAACCAGATGTAACCAGGACCGGCCAAACCGGCGTCTTGCGCCGCTCGGAAAATGGCCTCGGCCTCTTCCCGCGAGCAGTAGAGGAGGCGGATTTGGGCGCTGACCTCGCGCAGCTGCCGGCGTAACCGCGTCCCCTCGGGGTCGTCGGTTAAGTTGAGGGTGAGGACGCCCCGGTGTTCCCACCCGATGAAGCTGCTGTCGGTCAAGACCTCCACGTAGTCCACGAAGTCCTCGTAGCCGGGGAAGAGGGTGGTGACAACGGCGAAGGCCGTCCAGTCGTACTCCTCCAGCACCTCGAAGATCACCTGCAGCTGCTGCTCGGTGGAGGAGCCCAGCTGGAGGAAGGTGGAGCCCTTCTCCTGCAGCAGGGAGCGGGTGACAACGGGGGGCTGGGGACAGCTGGGTGGCTCGAGACGTGGTTGGGTTGGGGGACACGTGGGTTGGGGACAGTCGGGTGGGTCTAGATACAGTTGGGGACAGTTGGGTGGTTCTAGACATGGTTGGGGTTGGGGACAGTCAAGCGGGTCTAGACGTGGTTGGGGACAGGTGGGTTGGGGACAGTCAGGTGGGTCTAGATACAGTTGGGTGGTTCTAGACATGGTTGGGGACAGTCAGGTGGGTCTAGATACAGTTGGGGACACTCAGGTGTCTCTAGACATGGTTGGGGTTGGGGACAGATAGGTTGGGGACACTCAGGTGTCTCTAGACATGGTTGGGGACAGTCAGGTGGGTCTAGATACAGTTGGGGACAGTTGGGTGGTTCTAGACATGGTTGGGGTTGGGGATAAGTGGCTTTAGACATGATTGGGGACAGTCAGGTGGGTCTAGATACAGTTGGGGACAGTTGGGTGGTTCTAGACATGGTTGGGGACAGTCAGGTGGGTCTAGATACAGTTGGGGACAGTTGGGTGGCTCTAGACACAGTTGGGGTTGGGGACAGTTGGGTTGGGGACACTCAGGTGTCTCTAGACATGGCTGGGGACAGTTGCATGACACTAGACATGGTTGGGGACAGGTGGGTTGGGGACAGTCAGGTGGGTCTAGACATGGTTGGGGACAGGTGGGTGGCTCTAGACATCGTTGGGGGTGGGTTGGGGACAGTTGGGTGACTCTAGATACAGTTGGGGACACTCAGGTGTCTCTAGACATGGTTGGGGACAGTTGCATGACACTAGACATGGTTGGGGACAGGTGGGTGGCTCTAGACATCGTTGGGGGTGGGTTGGGGACAGTTGGGTGACTCTAGATACAGTTGGGGATGGGGATAGTTGGGTTGGGGACAGGTGGGTGGCTCTAGACATCGTTGGGGGTGGGTTGGGGACAGTTGGGTGCCCCTAAACATGGTTTGGGGGCAGCAGGGTGACCTTAGATGTGGTTGGGGACATTTGGGTATCCCTAGACGTGGTTGGCGACAGCTGGGTGCCCCTAGACGTGGTTGGGGACAGTAGGGTGACCCTAGACGTGGTTGGGGACAGTTGGGTGGCTCTAGAGATGGTTGGGGTTGGGGTGGGGACAGTCGGGGGCCCCCTGG